GGGAACGACCGCGATGCTGTATGTAGAATCAGTCAATGCATAGATGCAGAAGAGCGGGATTGGAAAAGGGGAGTTTCGACAACAATTCGGTTCGATTCCGTCCGGAGTGCTTGGGATGAAGAATGCCAGGATTGAAATTATGGTTAAAAGCACTCCCTGTCCCTGTCCATGCGCCGCAACTAAACCTTCGCGCGCCGGTCTTATTCATAGCAGGAATGGCGCAGAGGGGGACAACGAGACCACAATAATGACAAAAATCGAAAATTAGTTAAAAAACCCGGCAGAAAGACTCTCTACGCTCTGCCAGACTCTCCATTTCGCTCGTGGCTGTACCTGTAACGATGGACAGAGTCGATTTATATTATAGTTATAGTTATCGCTACTCTCAGGTAACGTATCGCTTGCCGCCTTCCTCCGGCTCCCGCCTCAGGCCTCAGGCCTCAATCTCCATCTTCCTTCTCATCTTCTTTTCCCTCATCTCCCTCGACCGGCACGTCCTCCTCCTCTCTCGTCCCTCTCCTATTGATGGAACGCTGCTCTTATCCATTGTCCCCCACAATGAGTAGCATCGCTTCGGATCATAGGCCAGACCACGCCATGACTGGCGCTGAAGATATCGCCACTACCTCCACCAAAGATGCCCCTTCACTACCTAACACCACCAGTGCTCCCAAACCATCGGTGCCCTCCATGCAAACTCCAGGCCATCCTAGCTTTAGACGGTGCGTGATAGTTCCCCCTTTATTTCTTCGATCAACCCGGAGCCGTTGGAGGGGGCGCCGCGAATGTGGTAAAGGAGAAAGCGAAGAAAATAGAGGCCAAGTTTCATTTCAGACAAGGAATTGGCTGACTAGCAAATGGGATAATACAGGCAACGGGCGTCGCGTGCTTGTGAGGTATGGTTTTTATTTATTTATTTCTTCCATCTCCCGATTCTCGTTCATGCACGGAGTTAAAATACTGTTCTGTTCTCGATCAAACGCTGGACGTTGATGCGATAGACCAGCCTCGGCACCTCGGTCTTACGCGAGGCCTTACATCCTATTGAGGTTGGAGGTATCTTTGGCCTCGAGCTCTCGACAAAGAGTCCACACGATCGATCGATCGATCGATCGATCGCAATGAGAAGCCTGTGTTTTTATTCTTGTCTTTTGCGTTTACATTTTTACTGACGGTGATGGCCGTTTCTACGGTCGCGGCCTGATTGCAGACTTGCCATGCTCGAAAGGTTGGTTAGCTGACCCCGAGTTTCTCACGATATTAGCCACCTCCATCCACGATCTCCATCCGACTAGTGTGCGGGGGAAAGAGAGGTTGGCGATCGGGCCGGCGGATTCTGAACTGTTGTTGCACACGGTGTTTAGCCGATCGCTCTCGTTGTCCATTTGTCTGACTTATTTTCTCTATTACATACAGGTTTCGGTGCGACGCAGCAAGTCTAGGTGTGCCCTTGCACCAATTGCGTAGCTTTCTCTATCGAATGTAAAATCCCAACGCCAAAGCGGAAGAAGCATCAGGGAAAACTATTCAAAGATGGGATCAGGTACGTTACTTTCTGTAAGGAATGGATATATATCGTTGGAATGGTGAATTGAATGAAACCGGTGGCTAATCTGCTGTGTAGCGATGAGCGACCAGATACCGGGAGCGGAGTCAGTGTTGACAGCACGCAAGGCGCCAAAACAGTAGAAGGAATGCCCGAGACTAGCTTGACCGAGGCTCAAGCTGCCCAGCAAGCTTCCCACAACGCCTCGTATGCCCAATTCATGAAACCAAAATTCGCCCGCGCCCCCATAAAGGAAGCAGGGAGGGTAGCATACCTTGGAGAATCGTCGAACCTTTCACTACTTGTCCATGATCGCCATGGTACTACTGATGTTGTACATTATCCGCTACCGGACGGGATAAGAGGCTCGCGCGCACGACTGACAGAGTTAGATAATTTGGAAATCGACATCCTGCATCAGAGGGGCGCATTCCTACTCCCACCCCGGGCTCTATGCGACGAGCTCGTAGACGCGTACTTCAGATGGGTTGCGCCTGTTGTGCCCATCATTAATCGCAGCCGTTTCATGCGCCGTTATCGAGATCCCAAGAATCCGCCCTCACTTCTGCTTCTGCAAGCTATTCTTCTCGCTGGGTCGAGAGTCTGTATAAATCCCCAGTTGATGGATGCGAATGGATCGACTACGCCCGCAGCTATGACTTTTTATAAACGAGCAAAGGCACTTTATGATGCTAATTACGAAGACGACCGCGTTACCATCGTGCAAGCGTTGGTTCTGATGGGCTGGTACTGGGAGGGTCCGGAAGGCATGCGTGACCCTTCGTTCAGCTGAGCCGTTTTTGAAGATATCCTTGCTGACCATATTGTGTTATTTAGATGTCACTAAAAATGTCTTCTATTGGAGTAGAGTTGCGACTGTTGTTGCCCAGGGATCTGGAATGCACCGAAGGTTCGTCGTCGATTAACAGTGGCAATTCGCTCTGATTGATCTATTTCCCCTACTAACGTATTTCTTTTACGAAAATAGCGTGGAATCGTCCCAGCTAAGCAGACCAGACAAGCGGCTATGGAAACGGATATGGTGGACACTCTTCACACGCGATCGATCCGTTGCCGTCGCCCTTGGGCGTCCCGTAAACATCAACACTGACGACTCCGACGTGGAGATGCTTACAGAGGATGATTTCATCGAGGATGAGGTCGACAGCGTCGCTGAATACCCGCCCGATCCTATCCACGTTCAGTTCTTCCTCCAGTATGTGAAGCTCTGCGAGATTATGGGCCTCGTATTGTCTCAGCAATACTCTGTCGCTTCGAAGTCGCGGCGTACAAATGCCATTGATCTAACTCATAGTGATATGGCGCTGGCCGATTGGCTACAAAATTGCCCGAAGGAAGTTTACTGGGAGAGGCCTAGGCATCATTTCTGGTCCGCCTTGCTGCATGCAAATTACTAGTGAGTTTTCATCCAAAGTGAATTATGCTTGAGGGGGAAATATTTGGCAGGATATAGAGACACCTAACCTCTCGTTTGTAGTACAACATTATGTTTACTACATCGTGCGCATATGCCCCCAGCCACATCTATATCTGGAAACTATGGATCGGACGGGATGACATACCCGTCTCGCACGATTGCTTTCCAAGCCGCTGCTATGATTACCTCCATTGTCGAGAATCTGCAAACACATGGAGAACTTAAGTTTACCCCAGCATTCATGTAAGTTTGACGGTTACTTGCGTTATCCTATCTGAGTCACCTCGCATGCATTTCATGTCTAACCTGTTTTCTTTTTCCAAAACAGTGTATATAGCTTATTCTCCGCCCTTATCATGCATGTATACCAAATGCGCTCATCCGTCCCCAGCGTTGTCTCCCTAAGCCAAGAGCGAATCAACATCTGCATGCAAGCCCTTAAGGATGTCTCGAAAGTCTGGCTTGTTGCGAAGATGGTACACACGCTCTTCGAGTCCATCCTGGGTAACAAAGCCCTCGAAGAACGCCTCCAGAAAGCCGCCGGCAAGCGACACCAGCGCGTCCGACGCGACCAACCGGCCCCCACAATACCACCCTCGTCAACCACAGCAGCACGACGCCCTATAGAAGCCCCCAAACGCAAATTCGACGACATGGAAATTAGCCTCCCCAACGGACCACCGGCTCCACAGGTTTCCTACGAGCGTTCTCGCCCGCAAACACCCGCCGTAACACCCTCTCGTGAAATGCCCCCGACTCCCGCTGGCTCGGCAATGGCCGCCCCGCCATCCCAACATCCTCCGCACACATCTTCAACCGCCCAACACCAACAGTCGCACCAGCAGCAACAGCAACAACAACAACAACAACAACAACAACAACAACAACGGAGCATAAACCACGATACCTTCCTCGGCGCCGCCGGTAGCTCCGACGGCAGTACCCGTCCCGACTCACCGTCTCAGTTTAACCCCCCTTTCAACATCCCAGCAACCCCCCCCGACCTTTTCCTCGTCACACGCAACTCCCCCAACATCTCGCAATCGCTCTGGGAAAACTTCCAGCCAACCCAACTCTTCCCCGACGGCACGAATATGTCATTCGCGGGCTTTTCACCCCGCAGCGGCGCGGCTATCGACCCACAGCTGCAGCAGACGCCCATGATGGGCAGTATGGGTACTCCCGCACTCAGCCCCGGCCAACAGCACTCACAACTACACCAGCAGCTACCCACACGAGGGCTACGCGATAGCCCCACCATGGGCATGCATCATATGCACGGCATGGGCCAGCCGTTGCAGCAGCGGCAGCAGCAGCAGGAGCAACATCCGGGCGGGGGCGGGTGGCCTTCCATGCAAGGGCTGGATGGGCATATGGCGCCTACAACGATGGAGTCGTCGAGTCAGGATGACAATTGGAGTACGTCGTCGCGAGGGCAGATGCCAATTCCGCCGACGTTGAATGTGGAGGATTGGTATGTTCTTCTTCTTTTACTCTTCCTTCCTTCTTCGTTCTACCTGTTATTCTCTACACTTTTTGCAGTCTTAGGTGTGTTTTGCTGACGTGCTTCTTTTTCTTTTTCTTTTTCTCTATGTAGGTTCCAGTTCTTCGGGATTAATGCGGGTGTGGGTGAGTTGGGGGAGGCGTTGTGAATGAGACGACGGTGTAATCGGCAGATGCTTCTTAACGGATGAGTGGATGTTTGGTGAGCGTGAGTGGGTGTGTGCATATGGGATTGGTATCAATATCACTTATCATATATCGATATCAATTTATATGTTATGAAATTAACAGGTTAAACAGTGGACTGTTCAAATATTTTATATTAATCTTGTACACTATCTACTTGTTTATATATATATAATGTGACTGCCATAGACCATGACCCTTTTATTTATTCGGCAAATAGAGATTTATTTATCTTTTATGCTTGTTGCATATCAGTTGAACTACATAGCTCCCAACTAGGCATTTTATCCTGAAGACATTTTTTTTAAAACAAAAAGCTTCCAAATGGCTGATAATAAGTTTGACTCGCTGACTAATAAATGGTCCAGGTTTACGCCTCCACTGGCGCCGCGGTATCCAAACATCTCAACCAACTACTGGAGGATAGCAACCGTTACACCGAGTCACGCATTATCCTGACCCCCTTGGAACTCCTGGAAGGGTATCCTGCTTTTGGTGTGGATTGTCCTATCACTCCACGTTCGGTGTTGATTCCACCTACGCCAACGGACTGGCAAACTACCGCAATTCCCGCTTGGCAACCGTCCAATCTTGAAATTGAGAATAGATGGGAGACAGGGCTGCGTTGGGTCAGTTGGAACTTGCAGCTTGAGGCTTGCGACCTGGGGCTTGAGTCTGCGTTCTGTGCGCATTCTTACATTCTTCTGACGTATCGATCTGAAGTCCTCTGAAAGGGCAGCAGTGCCTGGCTAGCAAATGGTCCGGATATCCGGGTGAGATTTGCACGCCTCCAACCATTCCCTGCCCTTGGATAACGGGGGCTCTTCATTTACGCACGGAGCTATCGCCTATATCGATCCCAATAATATAACTCTTAGCCTTGAGCACACCTCTCGATCGATCGATCAATCAATCAACAGATGTCCTGTCGGCGCTGTTTGCTTATCGGTGATACCCCGCTGAGTTTGCACCCTGAGACGCCAGCCATTGATTCGTTTGCGGTCTTCGACCTCTTGAAATGTCCTCGAAGGTAGGCAGAATTCAACCGACGTGAAAGAAATAGAAGGAAAGCCTATTTTATTTGGTTTTCTTTATTTTATTTCATTTTTAATCGCGGGTGGCAAGGGAGATTCCGACAAAATCATATAAATTGGAAGGAACCTGAGCAGGAAGAAGATTAGGGGAGCAATAGGATAAGGAATGACCAGCAACACCAACAAGTCCGATGTCTTCAATTCCTCAACCGCGAGCGCGAACTCCTCCTCCGGTGTCCGTCCGCGTAATCGACGCCTGATCTCCCTCGCCGATGACGATGATGATGACGTCCTCGGAACAACGGCAAATGATCATGTCCTGTCTTCGAATTCTCTGCTAACGCCCTCCGCGCCTCGTTCTCGTGCCTGTACCCCGTCTCCCACCCCAAGCAGACATCCCTCCCGTCCACCGACAGCCTCATCGACTACGCAGCGACTATCGAACGGCGCGAGGCTGGAAAATGGATCGACGGATATTCGGCAAACTAAACCGGCGAGCCCGTTTGTAACGGATTTTTTGGAATCGTCGTGGGTTTCTTTACAAGGACTGGCCTCAAGTGTGCTGGGAAACGAGGATATATTCGGAAAAGCGGATCGGTCAACATCAATACCAGGTGGGCACCAGCGGCGACGACGAAAATCTCCGAGTGCAAACTTCGCACGGGATTCTGGAAGTGTACATTCATCATGGGGGCCGGCAAGCTTCCTGAGCAAGCAGTTGGGTTCCTCAGGTTCGAATGCGAGAGAAGCCCGCCAGTCGACGATAGAGACGCTGAAAAGACAAGCCCTCCTCGAGGCCAATGGAGATGTGACACCGGATAGTCAGGGGAATTACAAACGAAGAGATTCTGGCGATGCTCCGCGGGGATATTCAACTCCGCCGGCGGAACAGGACGATTCGGATGCTTTGGTGTATGTGCATCATGTACAGCCAAATGACAGTATAACTGGTGTGTCAATCAAGTATGGCTGCCAGCCAGCAGTGATGAGGAAATCAAATGGCTTCTGGCCCAGCGACAGTATACAAGCGAGGAAGACAGTACTTATTCCCGTTGAAGCTTGTACTTTAAAAGGCCGTCGATTGCCTGCGAAGGAGGATGATGTTAACCTTTTTGAGGATTTGAATACTAGTACAGAGGACCCATATAGAGATATTACCTCACTAGCCACAGATTCCGAGGCGTCCTCCACCTTTGGATACGAAGACTCAAGTTTACGAGACGAATACCCCGGATCAGCTACTTCGTCAATTTCAAGCAAGACACAGAAACAAGAGCCGTTGTGGAAGCATGAATGTTGGGTGCAAATTGATGGATTTCCGGATGCTGTCGAAATCGGCCGCGTGACGCGGAAAATTTTAGGATTTTTTCCTCGAGCAAGGCGAAAATCGCTTGCCCCGCTATCAACGCCCTATGCCGACCTCGATGATATCCCGCACTCCCTTTACCAAAAGCAAACGCACAATACCAGGACTGCAAACGCCTCCTCTTCCTCTATCAATTCGTCCCCATTCGATTCTCACCTCTCACCATCATCCCGCACCTTCGACCGTTCTAAACCAAGTTTAAGATCCTTCTCCAACCCAAACATCCATCGGTATCGCAGCAGCTTCACCCTCTTAGGCCACGGTGGCGTAGGAACCCTGGGTCCCAACGTAAAAGTCCCCGGTCCCGCCGAAGATAAGCTCAACCAATTCGTAAAAACACATCTACCTCAACTCGCGCTCTCTCCGCTGCAGTCATCTCTTCAAATCCCGCCATCATCAAACAGCTACGGCCGGCGTACATCTGTAGAATCTACATCCACCGTCGTCTCGAATACGTCGTCTACGGGTCTTGAGAACGTTGGCGGCGCCATTGAAGGCTGGATGCGCAAGATGACCCGCAGTGCCAAGGCTGGTGTTACGGAGTTTCAGCAGCAGGACGGTCGTTTGGGCATCGGCGGTATGGGTGACCTGATCGAGCTGGCCGATACGCCGGATGGGAAAGGAACCTCTAGTCATATTGAACCTGGTGTCGATACAACTTCGTCGACCAGGGACGGGACAGGAAGTGACATTAATTTTAGTCCTCTTATATCGTCTAGGTCCGGGTCTGAATCTGAATCTACTATCGGGCTCTTCACATCCAGAGATGGTAGTAACGGCAGTGTAAGAGGTAGGAGGAAGAAAGGCGACTGATGCGCAAACGGGGCGCGGAGTGTGTTTTGATTTCATATGACGGCGGTGTGTGGGGGTTGTGTAAAGTTTACCTGTTTCTTTTTATTCATCCCTCCTTGTTCTCCTCATGGTCATACATTTCGTTTTTCAAGCATTTTTTGCAAGGTTAGGCAAACTGATCGCCCTAGGTTCTAAGAAAATATTCCCCATGTATCTTTCCCCTTCCAAGTCCTTGCTATTCCTCTTCCAAGAATCCTTTAGCGGTCCTTGTCTTTTGAATGCACGATACAGAATGTCCCACCTTTTTATCCGTCATCCTCCTCAATTTATTTTGTTTAGTTATGTTCAACATATTTGTAATCTTTCCCCTTCGCCTCCCTTTCCGTGTTCATGCCCATTCATTCTCCTTTCTGTTATTCTGCTGCGAACACCATTGTGTCCTATCAACTCTATTTGTTTTTGTTTACCATTCGTCATGTCCGCCCTTTTTTCCTTTCCCACTTTTTCCCCGTTTATATCTTACTTTTTGTTCATACCCTTATCTACAGTGTTCGAAACCATTGTCGCTGTGTATGGCTCATATGTACAGGACATGTACACGATCTATGTCCGTACGTACTTAATAAAGTTAGTATCATCGTTTACTAAACTACACGCAATTGCATTTATCTTTTTTTCGCTGCATTCTTGTTATTCCGAGAGAGGCGTGGCATATACTCTTTGGCAGCAGGTTCAATTCATTCGGGAATCGCCGAATGCCCTGAGATGAAATGCAATTGGCATTCCCGCGCGACTCTTCTAGTTTTGACGTTTTACAATTTACCCTTTGACTGGCATTGGTTGGGATCCTGGGTCTTGGTTAAATTCGGGTTGCTGAATAACCTCCAGAACTCGATAAGTTCTCTTCAGGGACCAAAATATCACACCGACGATGCACCTCGTCATTGCGAATTAAATATTCACCTCTACAAATATGGAAAAGAAAAGAAAAGGCAGAGTTATAGGCAATATCCATATCCAGGAAATTATAAATTACATTTCATACCCAGAGCGACTGGCCGAGAAGACCATTATCTCAGGGAGCCATCCGTGGAGTCGCAGGTGGGATCAAAAATCGACGTATTCTCCTTTCTATCCAAGTCACATTCCGCCACTTGAGTCTTCAAGGCCTACATGCTATACTCCTCATCACTGCCCATCAAATCCCTCCCTGCAGCCCAATGAAGCGCCCACCCAGCGAACCCCGGCTGGACCTTCATGGATTCGAACAGCTCACCAAAGGGTACAGCCCCTTCTCCAGTCAGGAGCCAGATCTGCCCGCGCTGCTGCCCAGTAATGATAAGGTACCAATCCATGCCGCACCCCTCTGTCCCCAGATCGAGACAGCCGCGACCAAAAATATCTGCCTCACCATCCTGACCAATAGCGGATGACGGGAAACCCTCTGGAAACTCTGGAGAGTCCTCCCATAGCCTTTTTTTTTTTTTTTTGTTAGCGGAAATGGTAACGCGAGGCGGTTCATGTCCGGGTCATCCCTATCGCAACAATTAGTGAGTGTGTTGAGGCCGTATTCTGGAGGGCGGTCACGGCATCCGCTGGCCACCTCGGCTACGAAGGTCCGATATGGTTCCGGAAGAATTATGCCGTATATGGACTCGAAGGCATGGACAGCAGGCCATCCCAGGGGTGGATCTACACATCTGGAAGCAAAAGCGGAGCGCAATGCTTCAATGTCGGCTTTTATGGCTTCCTTGTTAGGGGAGAGGGTGGAATTAGAACCAGAATTGGAGGGACCGCTTCCATTGGATCTGCGTAAGGCATTGCAGCTGTAAATTAAGAGGGTTTAATAACTCAATAGCAAAGTAAGTTGGGTTACGGCGTTTGAAATAAAATGAGCATAAGAATACTCGTCGGTGGAATTATCAGGGTGGAGAGATGTTGGGTTCATGATTTGAACCGGGCTTCGCAGAAAATGGGCAGCTCTAACTTAGGCATCAAGGCGAATAGCTCATATTTTGACGTCAATTTTGTGAGAGCTTGCTTTCCCTTGGAGCATACAAGTTATAAGGAGATTGTAGCGTGGGCTTCTCCAGAGCCAAGTTCCCCAGCAAACATCGTGAGAACATTGATTTCTCTAGATCTTAAGGTGGTACAAGACTACAAGTTGGTTTGCTCTTCTCATTCATACATATATTCATATATATTCATTAGGGTTAGGGCTTAACCACAGTGGCAGTTGGCGCTTGGGGAAGTTATTAGGCCACTAGGGCAAAAGAGCTCAATCACCACCAGCGCCGTGGTGGGATAGAGGGTACGAATCACCCAATCCAATCCCCCCAACAGAAGTTTATATATGATTACATAATTCCACCAAATCCCTCCACATTCTACGCGAGGAACTGCTCCAATAGCTCAGCGGTTAGAGCGTGCGATTGCAGATCGCAATGTCCCTTGTTCGAATCAGGGTTGGAGCTGAACCTGAATTTTTCTTTTCTGATTTGGTTGTACTCAATTTTATTTCTTTCATCTTTATTCTTTTGCATGTTCGACCATTCATTTTCTTTCTTTTTTCTTTCCTTCTTTCCTTTTTTCTCCCGTTCCTCGCTGTGCCTCTCGTCGGTGTGTCGTTGCATCCATTTCCTGAACCATGCACTGTACCAGCCCTCCAAAAACCCAAACATCAAAACCTTCATATTCTAATCACATCACAAACCTTTCTCTGTCGATTTACAATTAGACGTAGCTGCTTGCCCTCCCATGAGCTGTCATCAGTAGTCGAACCAGGCCGTTGCGCGGATTCTTGCTTGGCTGCAAAAACGCCTTTGCGAAGATTTGGGACGAAAAGTTCGTACGAGGGATAGTCTGTATATTCAACAAAAGATAAAATAATAGTAGATATGCATGTCAGATTTCCATTTCGTATAGCCTTATGTGTGGACTAGTGAATATAACAAAATAGAAAGTTGGCATTCTTTTGGAAACGTACAGCCATCCACGAATTTATTGACCTGTTCGACTCTCATACCAGCGCCCTTGGTGGAGAGCAGGGTGCGCTCTTGCTCCTGGCGCCAATCGTAGACTAAATGGGTGTCCTCTGCATCACTGCTCGGAGGCTTGGGTTATTATCAGAGGGACGGAGAACTGCGACGGATCCAAATGGACATTATACATACAGATGTATGAACGCATCTCGCCGCACTGGCGCGTTTTCAGGGTTTCAACCGTTTTGGTATAGGAAAAAAATAAGGCCCCTTAAAACCCATTGGAAAAGGGGGGGGGGGGGGGGGGGGGGAATAACCATCACTCACTCGGTAAATGCATCATACGCCCTCAAAGCGTCGTTAATCATTTTCACATCTTCGAACTTCACATATCCTAACCTTCCCTTATACCCCACCGGGTCCCTCACACACAATTGAACTGCATCTTCCCAAACCCTGCGTAATTCCGCTTCCGGTAGAGCTCGAAACCCCACACACCAGCCTTCGAAAATCACCACCTTCACCCGTTCTTGGCCGGCCGACACGTCATTGACAACTTCCCATTCGCTTTCGGGCAGACGGTCACCCTGGCCACTATATGCTGATTTATCATACGCAGGTATCTTGGTGGGTAGGCCCTGGCGGAGGGAATCGAAGATCTGGCAGCCAAGCGGAATGTCGTGGGTGGATGGTTGTCCGCGGTGTTGGAGAAGTGGATTTGAGGGGTGCAACGCCGCCAGGCGTTGTTGGTCAGTATGGCTAAGATAGATATCGTCCAGGGAGAAGGCTATCGTAGGGAGATTGCAAGGCGGAGAGGACAGAGTTGAGCGGAGGATGGAGACCTATATACATGCAAAGGGTTTTTCGCGAGTGTCAGTGACCACGCAGTTGCTGCGATGTTAGGGAAACATCGACGCTGGTTTGTGTAGGCAGTTTTACGCGCATTACCCCCTTCCCCTCCTCCGAAATATCTTCTTGTAGTAGCCTATCCGTATCTAGGGGTATGCAATTAAATCAAGAAATTACCATAGCAACTACTAGTACCTTACCAGCACTGTCTTCCCCGCACCCTGGACACCATTGAGTCCGACAAAAAAAGGCGGAGGACTCGAGTCTGCCGCATATTTCTGCTCGTGTATACATAATTGCTCCAGGAGAAAATGAATGCAAAGCTGAGACTTGTCGTCAAGTATATCAACCATTGTTGCGCCCGTTTCTAATACATACGAAGGTATTGATTCCAAAGCTTTGGTCAATAAAATCCGGGGAGATTTAGAGTTTTCAGTTTGCATTCCTTCGTATGTTAGTATAAACCTTAATTGAACCTAGACCTCGCTAGCACGTGAGAGTGGCTGTGACATCATCATCGGTGTAAATTTTGTTGGCCCTAGGCTGCCTATCACGGACTAGCGCACCGCATATATATGCCTCAGCTGCCGACATGCTACTCCGTAATACAACCACTGTCAAGGCAAATGGCTAGGTACGGATGCAATTACTGATTAACATGTTATCGTGCATGTGCATGCATTTCGGTGGGGTTCAAAATTGCACATCGACGGATGTGTACTTGCTAGTACTCGGTACTGCTCCACGCATTGGATTGCTTTGTAATTTCAGGCCCGCTTGCGAGACACAAGATCGTTAGTTGGGCTTGATGTGTTAGACTTTGAAAATTGTCATATTCACATGCAGAAGACAATCGAGGGAACGAGCTTGGCACATGACAAGGAGTTACAGCCAATCATAAACTAGGAATGTGAATGCGATGTTTCATTAGTCATCTGGACAGTCTCAAATATTTTACACATACGGTATTTTACAGCAAACCTATGGTGAATTCAACTGAATTGCAATGTACGATACGCCCTTGATACGGCCACCCTTTGATACCGGACCAATTGTTGTTGCGTTCCGGGTGAGAAGCTTAACCCGGTCTCACACCGGCCGAGGTTCATCAGAGCATATTTCACCTTCAGCTTCCGTATCCTCCACTTCTTCTCTTTTCTCGCCTCTTCTTATTTTCATCAACGCCCTGGCTAATGACCATTTTGTTTCTTTCCAGCCTCTCCATCTAACCCCATTTCCTTTGCAGGTTTCTCGACTTACCACCCACTCCCACTTCCTCTCCACCACTTAGGCCGGGGCCCTCTTATATATCACTATGTCGGAACTTCGATTCGATAACCAGACGGTTGTTATCACCGGTGCTGGCGGCGGCGTAGGGAAAGCATATGCCCTTTTTTTTAGTAAACGGGGTGCCAATGTTGTCGTAAATGATTTGGGTGTATCCCATCGGGGTGAGGGCGCTTCGTCCAGGGTCTGTCAGATATCCATAACTAGTTCTATATTTAAAATTTAAAAAGTCGTCTAATAATTTGCTGCAGGCCGCCGATGTCGTTGTGGACGAGATCAAAGCTGCTGGCGGCAAGGCGGTAGCTAACTATGATAGCGTCGAGTTTGGTGATAGAATCATCGACACTGCCATCAAAGCCTTCGGCCGTGTTGATATCTTGATTAACAACGCTGGTATCCTACGAGATGTTAGTTTTAAGAATATGAAAGATATCGACTGGGATTTAATCAACATGGTCCACGTCTATGGTTCTTACAAGGTACGGCTTGGTCTAGGAATCTGTTCTCTTTTCTTTCGTTCCTCATTCATCTTTCTCTTTTGTTAAAGCATAAGCTCTGAAAACTGTCAAATAGTGCACAAGAGCTGCGTGGCCATACTTCCGGAAACAAAAGTTCGGACGGGTTATCAACACTGCCTCATCTGCTGGTTTATTTGGAAACTTCGGGCAAACTAACTACTCTGGTTGGTAATCCTTTACACCACGCTTTCTATTTGATAAACTGCATACCAATAATTTAATGTAGCTGCAAAACTGGCCATGGTTGGCTTTACCGAGACCTTGGCGAAGGAAGGTGCGAAATATAACATTCTGTCAAACGTTATTGCACCAATTGGTATGTGGGACCCCTTGTTTCACATGTTAATCTGCACAATCCCAGCTAAAGAATAACAGCTGCCAGTCGTATGACTGAAACCGTCATGCCTCCAGATGTCCTGGAGCACCTTAAGCCTGATTGGATTGTTCCTCTGGTCGCCGTTCTTGTCCACTCGTCCAATACCTCAGAATCTGGAGGCATCTTTGAAGCTGGCGCTGGCCACGTGGCTAAGTTGCGATGGGAGCGTGCAAAGGGTGCTCTGTTGAAGACGGACGACACTCTCACGCCGCAGGCTATCCTTGCTAAGTGGAATGATGTTACGGATTTTTCAAAGCCTAGCTACCCTACTGGAGCTGCGAACTTCTTAGAACTCTTGGAGAAGGCCCAGGATGTACCCAGCGCCCCCGCAGGTGAGAGCTTCGATTTTACTGGCAAGGTTGCCCTCATTACCGGCGCTGGAGCTGGCTTGGGTAGAGCCTATGCTTTGCTCTTTGCGAGGCTTGGAGCCTCCGTGGTTGTCAATGACCTTATCAACCCAGATCCCGTTGTTCAGGAGATCAAAAAGCTTGGAGGCAAAGCTGTTGCCTCCAAGGCATCAGTTGAGGACGGCGATGCAGTTGTTAAGCCTGCGATTGACGCATTTGGCCGGATTGATATCCTGGTTAATAATGCTGGTATTCTCCGCGATAAAGCTTTTACTAACATGGATGACGACATGTGGAACACCATCATGAATGTCCACCTTAGAGGCACTTACAAGGTCACCAAGGCTGCATGGCCTTATTTCTTGAAACAGAAATATGGCCGCATCGTTAACACCTCCAGCACCAGCGGTATCTACGGGAACTTTGGACAAGCCAACTATGCTGCTGCTGTGAGTTAATTTCTCCTCCCCCATGGCTGACTAGCTAGTGGAATGACCATCACTGATTGCAATAGAAACTTGGCATTCTAGGATTCTCTCGTGCCTTGGCTCTTGAGGGAGCCAAGTACAACATCTATGTCAATACCATTGCTCCAAATGCGGGTACAGCACTGACCCGGACCATCCTACCGGAAGACCTTGTTCAAGCGTTCAAACCAGAATACGTTGCTCCAATGGTCGCCCTACTCTGCTCTGATAAGCTGCCCGAGCCGACCAAGGGCTTGTACGAATGTGGAAGTGGTTGGTTTTCCAAAACCAGATGGCAACGGAGCGGCGGACATGGGTTCCCCGTCGATGTGCAGCTCACTCCTGAGGCTGTCCTCTCCCAGTGGAAGAAGATCATCACATTCGACGAGCGTGCCGATCATCCTGAAGACAGCCAAGCAGGCCTGAAGAGCATTATGGCGAATATGAGCAATGTCAGTGGTGGAAAGAAAGAGAAATCCAAGGGCGACCAGCAGATATTGGAAGCCATCAAGACCGCGAAGAGCACGAAGGCCAAGGGAACTCCATTCGATTACACCGACAAGGATGTCATCCTTTACAACATCTCTCTCGGTGCCAAACGCACTGATCTGCAGTTCGTCTACGAAAACAGCTCAGACTTCCAAGCCCTCCCCACCTTTGGTGTGGTCCCCTGGTTCACCACGACCACACCATGGGATGTCGCTGATATCGTCTCTAATTACTCCCCTGTGATGCTCCTCCATGGCGAGCAGTATCTCGAAATCTGCAAGTTCCCTATCCCCACTGCGGCCAAGACCATCAACGTCCCCACCCTCATTGACGTGATTGACAAGGGCAACGCCGCTATCGTCGTCACAGGTTTCACCACTAAAGACGCACGATCCGGCGAAGACCTTTTCTACAATGAGTCGACTATATTCATCCGTGGGAGCGGCGGCTTCGGTGGATCCCCAAAGCCCACAGCCCGTCGCGCGAAGGCTGCCACGGCTGCCTACAAGCCGCCGCAGCGCAAACCTGACGCCGTTATGGAGGAGAAGACCTCTGAAGAACAAGCCGCCCTGTACCGTCTAAACGGTGACTACAACCCACTCCACATCGACCCAGATTTCTCTAAGGTTGGTGGTTTCAAGGATCCCATCCTGCACGGCCTCTGCTCGTTCGGCGTTTCTGGCAAGCACGTGTACAAGACCTTCGGTGCCTTCAAGAGCATCAAGGTCCGGTTTTCAGGTGTTGTGATCCCGGGTCAGACGTTGAGGACCGAGATGTGGAAGGATAATGGCACAGTTGTGTTCCAGACTACTGTTGTGGAGACTGGAAAGCCTGCAATTGCTGGAGCTGGTGTTGAGCTTCTCTCGACTGGCTCGAAGCTGTGAATGTGGGTGTATGTTAAAGGAAAGCGACAATGGGTATTAATGAGATAGAAAGTCTCCTATTCCTCTCTTTGTCTGTTATCTAAGTCTTGCGGTTTTTTTCTCTTACATTATACGAGACTGCGATGCTTCTATTTTATTCCTCTATTTTGTGTATATATGCGTATCCCTCTTATTCTTGTTCTCATATTGTTTGGTCTTTCCTGTATTGTGATATTATACTGTCTCTCTTTCTCTCTCCCTCTCTCTCTATATATAAAAATACAAATATATATGATCTATTTCTGGCCTCAAATCCGACAATACCATGCTCGCTCTTTTTAAATTTATTCATCGATGTTGTTCTAGATCTTTGTTGGCTTTTGCCGAGAAGTCGATCCTCACATTAGATAAAACCATAAAAATAGGTCAGTAGAGATGTTATTATTTATAAACTCAACCCTCTCAGACCTTTTACTATCATATTTACCCATGCCGGGAGTTAATGTAACACCCATTTATTATGTAGCGTCTTATTTCGGCCTTGCGGTCGGCTGCTTAATGATCCATGCTGGCCCTGTCCTCGCCTTCCGCCGCGGCCCACCACGCCACAAGGACAACTACATCAGAACCTCACCTAACCACGGCAACGATTACTATGTATGGTACGACCTAACAGACGCAGCCATACTATATACTATTCAACAGTCTCAAATCACTTCGACTGCACATCTACTTCTACATTGTATTTACATATCCTTCAGGAACCTCAACCCCGCGATTCCGAGCTAGACGACAAAGCCACCACTGTGAAAGCGACACTTTACAACGAAAAAATCAAGAGAAATTCCTTGGAATAACGAAGAACCAGCTCCCCTTTCTCCTCCTCCTTTGGAATCATGTAGCTATCCACAACCATGGTGCTTTTTCTCGGCCTCCCAAGTTTTTATTCCAGAACCTCTCCTCAGCGCAAGAGCACCGCATCGAGCACCGCATCTAGCACCGCATCCTCCACAAATGAACGCCCTGTCTCGGCAAGTAACCTTTCCTCCGTCTCGAAATCCCCTTCTTCATCAGCGACACACGACAAAGCACCAACGCCAAAAGCAGCACCAACACCACCTCCTGCCGCTGCTGCCGGCTCATCGACAATCACCGAAGCCCTTCGCGGAAACCCATTTGGCATAGTTTCACGAGCAAAAGCGCCTAGCAATGTCGCAGCCGGCGAAACGATCGAAGAGGAGAAAGAGCGTGATCGCCGCGAACTGAACGATGCGCTGGCTATGTTGGCACAACTGTTTCCCGATGTGAAGATTGAGGTCTTTCGCGAATTGCTGGTTAGATTTGATGGGAAGAGCAGGTTACATGTTTGTGTAGAGCAGCTGTTGAGATATAGGGCTGAATGGGTCAAAGGGAGATGGAATGTCCCTGAGCTGGATGCTAAGGCTAGTGATAGAGCTCCTGGTCGAGGTACCATAGCAGTAGACGGGAATGGGGATGCGCACGGAAGAAGGAGGAGATGGATACCCCATGAAGAGCTGTTTCAGAGCGAGGAGTACAAGGCTGCGGTCAAATCGGCCCTGTCTCTGGAATTCCGTGTTTTAAGCAGAAGTGCCATCGATGCGGTGCTGGCGGAGGTTAATTTCTCGTACACCCGTGCCCGCCCAACGCTGCAGGAGCTCTCCCGCAAGAGCTGGCGAGTGACGTTTGGGAATATATTTCCTTTCAAGAGGAAGAAGGAGAGGGATGATCACCCGCTCTTGTCATGGGAGAGATTGCCTGATGGGGAACTTGTGCCCCGACTAAAAGAAACTGGTTGCTCGGAACTTAATCGGGAGCTGCATGATACATATCTGGCCCCGTTGCTGACCCGGAGAAAGGAGGAGCAGGAAGCTACTGGGCTGAAGCTCGCAGAAGAGCTTAATAAATTCGAGGCAGAGGCTGCAGAAGCCCTTTACGAATGCGATTGCTGTTTGTCAGACGTTACTTTTGAGCAGATATCTACTTGCTCAGTCAACTCGCACATTATCTGTTTCAATTGCATCCAGCGCACCATCCATGAGTCCCTCTTTGGACAAGGCTGGAGCAGGTCCATTGACCATGAAAAGTCAACGCTACGATGCCTAGCACCTATGGCAGAGGGCATTTGCGAGGGTACTCTGGACCCGGCGATTGTGAAACGAGCGATTCTCGCTGAAAAGACCGGAGCGGAAACATACCAAAAGTTCGAAGATCGCCTGGTTTCGGAATGCCTTCTGAAATCTCAGCTAAAACTGATCCGCTGCCCATCGTGTGGGTATGCGGAAGTAGACCCCGTTTACCATCCATCAGCAAAGGGGCTCACTTGGCGCTTCCGGCGGGGAAACCTCCTTCCGACAATAGCTACGATAATTTTTGTTCTCGATTTGATACCCCTTCTCATCATTCCAGTTTTATATTTTCTCCTATTCAACCCGTCAATGATATCCACCATCCTATCTGCCTCGCTACGGAACATTTGCCTTAAGACCCGCCCCCAACGGTTTACTTGCTCAAACCCTGCCTGCAGTTCTGATAGCTGTATTACGTGCCACAAGCCATGGCAAGATCCCCACCGCTGCCATGAGCCTCTGCTCCAGTCTCTCCGAACAACCGTCGAAGCGGCCCGAACAGCCGCTATCAAACGAACTTGTCCAAGGTGCGGTCTCTCTTTCGTCAAATCGTCTGGCTGCAATAAACTCACCTGTGTATGTGGGTACTCTATGTGTTATATATGCCGTAAAGCTCTAGGTCCACCACTTAGAGTAGCTGGCGCCAACAATATCCTAGTCGTTCGCCCACCACGACAGCCAGCGCAACCTCAGAATAGGCGACCCTGTCATGACATACTTCAAATCAATGGAGAAAATGCTCCCTTTGACGACTATGACCTAGACGGGAACTTAATAATGAACATGCCAGCCGACGAAAATGGCGACGATGACGACGAATATAATAACCACAACAATAACAACAACACTAATCCGGCGGAAGACGAAGAGCCAGAGGGCTACAAACATTTCTGCGAGCATTTCCGTGCCAACCCCGGCTCCCGCTGCACCGAATGCACCAAATGTGACCTTTACCTCACCGAGGATGAGGAAGCTGTCGCACGGCGCGCGGGCGAAAGGGCAGAGCGCCAGTGGCGCATTAGGCAGGGTCTACTTAATTCCTCATCATTGTCGTCCCAAGGGGTCACTCTACCCAGCGATGCCCTTGCAAAGCTTTACGATATGTCTAGCGGTAGTCGTAGTAGGGGTGGTGTGCCGCAGTACCCCGGGTATAGAGGCTCTGTCGCCGGGCCGCTGGACTGGAATTGGCAGCTCGACGCAAGCGATTGGAGGAGGCAATGGAAATTTTGGGCGCGGGATATATGGCGGAATGGGAGGTGGAAGGGCGAGGGACAGTATATGATTGATATGTTATTGGAAAAGATAGTTGTTGTTGATTTTTAGGGAAGATTTTGCTTTTGTTCTCTTTGTCCTATTTTCTCTTCTCCAATTCCCCCCCCCCCCCCTTTTCCTCTACTCCTTTTCTAATGATGTTTTATACTGATATACGTTTGATTCGCCTTCTGTTTTCTTCGTCTCTTTTTTCCCCCTCAGTGGTGCTTTGTTCTCTTGTCTCCCGCTATCTAGTCAGGTATGTTGGGTTTATATGATGTGAAAAGAAATATGGAACTGGAGGTAATTGATTTCCACGAGTTCATTTCGCCTCTATAACTATTTAAATTTATACGACTGCTTTTTACCTTATACTTTTCAATCTCCACGTCACGATGGTCATGTGACGTAATTTCCCGTGTACGTAATCGACGCAAGTTGTTAGACAACAGCAATAACTACCGCAACAAAACTCTTTGCCAACATCGATCAATGTTGGTTGACTATCGACAGAAGTAGTATATTCGACATTATCGGCGGCGGAGCAATTTTGAGGTGTTACGGTATAATACGATTCGACTGAAGAACACAGGGAATACTCGTCCTTCCCGGAACATATTAAGCTCGAAGCTCCCGGTTTGCTCCAAATTTACCTGGAATTGCTGAACGAAGAGTAGGAAGAGGTCCAGTGGCATGCGATAGAGCATTTCCAGGCTTTGTCGGAGTGTGTCTGAATATACGGGATGGCGATCACGGCCAACGGGAGTGGCAGCGGCGGCGGCGGCGGCGGAGGAGGAGGCGGAGGGGCGGGAAGTTCCAGTACGGACAGTCCGTTCGTCATCGAGCACGACGATGATTCAGTATTGGATAATGATTATCTAGAGCGTGGAAGTAAGTCATTTTTTTTCATATATTGTGTTTATCTTCTTTACCTCCCGGCAGTCCATTTTTGCTACGTTCGTAACAGAACAGTGGTGATGAATGATATCCAAATATCCTTCCACCAAATCCCCCATCCCATATAACCTGGAAACGAGGCGCTTGCCCGCGAAGGAAAAACACCCTCAGCTAACCAAACCCCTCCCCTCTCACAGCCATCGAAGCCGACAATCCGGCCCACAGCAACGAACCCACCACCGACCGCACACCTCTAACAGGAAACATCGCATCCTCCTCCTCATCACGCCCCAACATCACCGGCTCCTTCCTTACATCCTCCATCCCCGGCGAGGACCGGCGCGCTCCACAAAACACCATCGACGAGACTGTATGGGCCACATTATCACGCGACCTGCTGGCCGTCTGGGAGAAAATGCGGCAGGTGTTGTGGCCCAAGTATCTGCTAGGTGGTATGTTGGCGCGCGGGGAAGGGATTGGGGCAGCGGAGCGTGGGGAGGCCAGCGGATTTGGCAATGGCGTCGGTGGAGGGATCAGGGGATTGGTGGGGAGGTGGCCGGATGCGGATGTCGTTCTCCAGGGGGGAATGAGTGAGGGATTGAGGGATTGGGATCTTTGGTGCGTTTGTTGGTGTGGAGCGGCGGTGGTTATATGGTTGCGTGTGGATTTGCTTACTGACATTTATGTGGGGTTATTATAGGGGACCGTTGATTTTCTGTTTGTTGCTTAGCATGTTTCTATCCATGCGAGCGCAGGGAGATCAGGTCAGTTTAGTTTTCTCGGGCGTCTTTTGCATAGTATGGATTGGAGAGGCGGTTGTGACGATGCAGATTAAGTTGCTAGGCGGGAATATGTAAGTTTCTCCCCACCATTTCCTTGCGATAAATATCATCCCAGATAAACACCTGCTAACATCTGGTGAAACAGATCTTTTTTCCAATCCGTCTGTATAATCGGCTACACTCTTTTTCCACTTGTGATCGCTGCTCTCCTCAGCGCCTTAGGTCTCCCAATTGTAGCACGGATCCCCGTCTACCTTGTTCTGATCGCCTGGTCACTGGCTGCGGGGGTGAGCATCCTTGGTGGGTCCGGTGTGGTGAAGAATCGCGTGTTAATCGCGGTTTATCCACTATTTGTATTTTATATTGGAATTGGGTGTTTGTGCTTTATTAGCTGATCTTATTTTTTTTTGTCCTCTTTTTTTTCTCTCCCCCGGGTATTGTGGTGATTGAGGGAGGGAATCAAGGTGGTATGTGATCTGGTAGGGGATTTGTTGAGATGTGAGCTGCTTCAGGATGACAAATGGGATTGTGGACGGTGACGATGTCTCTTATTTCGTTATATATGCTATGGCTGCGGGGATCTCATTTTCCCCAATGTATACTGGATCATTATGCTGTTTTCCCAGTTGTGGGGAGTGCTTTTCAATTCCGTTGCTTCTGGCCAACCTTTTTTTCTTCTTTTTGAATGTGAGCCTGTTTATCCACCAATGTCTCTTCTGATATTTTCTATGAGATCGCTAGGAGGCTGTATTATATACTTAGATGCTCTGAGATCCTGTCATTTGAAGTGATATTTGTTGGGAACCTCGGTTTCATTGTTGGAATGCGTCCTCTTCTCTGACATTCTATATTTTTATTGATGTATATAAAACAAATCAATGAGCATAAAGGATCCTGTCGCAGAGCAATCGCCGAAACAACATCTATTAAAGCCAGCAAAATTGCAATACAGCTTCCAAACGAAAGTCCCAAGGAACCATTTGAACAAACATACTGCGTACAATGACCTTGTCAGACCCTCTGACTGATAACAGAATAGTTCAGTTCTTTCTCTTGACAGAAGAAAGTGGTGGCGGTCTGGATTTCTATTTGTTTTGTTTTTACTGAGGCATCCTCCTGACCTCCTGCAAAAATCGGCTCATTTGTACTCCGTAGCATTTGCCGGATCTCCCCTTGCTGCTTGATGTTGTTGTTGATGGCGCTATCCTTGCGCTGAGCTCTGGCCAAAATTTCAATCTGCGAACCTTAAATTCTCGCGGCCAGACAAACAACCACTACGACTACAACAACGACAACCACTACGCCGCTCCTACAGTTTGGGGACAAGCAGCACGACCTCGGAATCATAATCTGCTTCTAACACCCCATCAGCTATACGGAGTACTTGTGCGGAGCTCCGTCTGAGCAACATCCAGTGTGACCTCGTTGGGCAGCCGATCACCGTCCGCACTAATCTGCTGGGCCCCACGTACCGACTCAACACCACCAAAACTGTGCCACATCCCCAAACTTCCCCGACTCTGATCAACAACGACCAACCCACCGTCGTGAGCACGCAAAGGATAACTACCCGTATCGATACAACCTACCTACCCGAACTCGCTGGGTCGACGAAGGAGAAAGACACAGCTCCGATATGGCTTCTGAGAAACACCAGCAGAATGGTGTTCTAATCGGTGAGGACACCAGTAGTACTCCACCTGCAACCACCGATCTGGAGCCTCGCTCACCCGCTTTGGACATCGTAGAGCCGACGGACAAGGATTCTCATAGCCCATTACTCCCAGGCACGCAAGGTACGCAGGAGCGGGGACCCATATCTCTGCTAGAAACTCGGGACAAAAGAGATCTTGTCTCCCTATCTGACTCTAAAAATTCTGAAGCCTCCAATACGGTTGACGTCGGCGCCCTGCCTGGCACACGACTTACCCCTCAACAAGGTACGCGAGACAATACGTCTTCTCCAAATATTGCACGGGAACGAAACGGGGGAGATGGACCAAAGGCCCGGCCCCAAGAGATGCCGCATCAACAGGCGGAGGAAAAAGCTACAGACAAAAATCACGTTGAAAAGTCATTTTCTGACACAGATGAAGGCCCCACTCACCTGAAGAAAGACAACGGAGCTCACACGGAAAATGATGCGGCTGAGGTCTCAGAAGGTACGAAAACCCAGGAGCCAGAGGAAGTCAAGATAAATTATCCAGCCTCTGACGAACAAAAAGATGGTGCCGATGAACGACCTGTTCGTCAGAAACTCAAGGAAACCTCGATTGCCGGTGTGCCTCGCCCGAATTCCCCAGAGGACCACGCTATGGCGTCACAGGGAACCCCTGTGGCCGGAGCAGAGAGTGTGAGTGATACAAGTAGCGTGGAAGGGCGAGGGAGACTACGGAGGAAACGGTCATTGGGAGATATGAATGAGCATGAAGAGCATGACGAGGTGGCGGGCGGAAAAAACACAGACGAGACTGGCCATCGACGGAAGCGGTCAAGGGATTCTAAAACGGACGATGAGAGCAGCGACAAGCAAGAGCGCTCTAAGAGTAAGTCGACGACAGAGGATAGCCATGGCATGACAGATAATATGGATGCTAAGGATGCCACTAATAAAGGTGGAATACGGACCCCAACGGAAGAGCTCAAGAGCACGGAGAGTGATACTGCCAATCGCATTCTCAGCCCCAAGAAGAAGCGTAGCAGAGACCAATTCGACAAGGACCATCTGAAGCCAGATAGTATGGACGAAAAGGCTGAGGAAGGGACAGCAAATGCCAAATTTAGAGAGCCCTTTGAGAAATCCAAGGCCATGTCAGCCAATCGTACAGTAGAAGGCGAGCCGGAGAAGAAGCGACACCGTGACGATTCCCAGGATAGGAGCTCTCAGGTAGACTCCGATCTAGTTTCTAAAAAGGTTTGTAAATATCACTTCAACTCTGGTATTGATTTTTAACTCCAGCCCCTTTTGAATATTTGGTTGTTGTATATTTACAAAGCACATCTCCGCATGTAGGCCTCCTCGCTGAATCCGTTTTCCAACACTTTGAGCGTATCCGCTTTCGCTTCTATGGCATCGAAACCCCCCCAACTAACATCAAAGGACAAAATGGAAAAGAAGGAACAACCCATGACCTCCGCATCTACTTTCGCCTCATCAAAATTAGCATCTTTTGCCAGTTCAGAGAAGTCACCGTTTAGCAGCCTTGGGTCTGCAAATTCCTCAGCACTGAAATCTGCACCTCCCGCTGAAACCACGCGAGGCAAGGAACATCCATCAACCTCCTCTTCGGCTTTTGCAGCGTCGCCCTTTGCGGCTGCCGCTGCGTCATCCCCGTTCGGTGCTCTGAGCAGTGGTAAATCCGGGTTTGGTCGGAGTGGGTTTGCCACTGGCTTTGCTGCCGCTGCACCAAAGCTGGGTGGGGGATTAGCCTCTTTTTCAACTCCTACAGGTAGCTCTTTGGTTTTGGGAAATTCTTCAAAGTCGAAAACTCTGGGGGCTGCTGGCTCTGCGCATGAGGATGGTAATAAAGTAGAAAAAGGGAAAGGTGAGGACGACGATAAATCTACCTTTGAAGGTTTGGAGGAGGAGAGGGGGGATGAGAGATTCCATGAACAGCAGAGTATGTTGGATTCATTCCGGCCCCGTTGTTTTCCCGCTGACAGTTCACCCTTTACAACCTAAAAATTGATCACCCCGTGTACTTTACTAACTGCTCCATTCTAGCTGAAACGGGTGAAGAGGGCGAAAATACAATTTTTTCATGCCGCGGCAAGCTATACCATTTCGACGGGAAAGAATGGAAGGAGCGCGGCGTTGGTGTTTTCAAAGTCAACATCAGGGAACCTGTTAATGATAATAACAATACTGATAGATCTAAAGAAGAGCCGCAACCCGGTGACAACAAAACAGATGAAGAACATGAAAAGGAAGAGAAGCACAAAGCCAACGAAGGCGAGGGTGTAGAACCGAAGAAAAAAACAGCGCGGGTGATCATGCGGGCCGATGGGGTGTGGCGGGTAATCCTCAATATCCCTGTTTTCAAAGGCATGAAAGCTGGCGATCCGTCCGGTGGCCCTCCGAAGGGGAAACAAGTGCATTTTACGGGATTCGAGGATGGCAAATCTGTCCCTTTCCTCTTTAGGGTATGTGAATCTCTATGTCTGTCTAGTTTTGCTCGTTTCTTTTATGGCATATGTATCTAACTTATTTGTGCTCTCTTCAGACCGGAAATGACGACATCGCCAAGCAACTCTATACTACCCTCCATACCCTCCAAGCGAGTCTATGAATTGGGCTTTTTCACACCATCGTTTCTCTTTCCCTCATTCCACTTTCCAAGTCCCCCCATTCCATTCACTGTTCCCGTTCTCTTTTCATATCTTTTAATGTTCCTTTTTTTGCGATCACTAAAACTGAACGCCGTGAATAATTAACCCCTCTGTTATGAAAAAAAATTGACCTTGCGTGTATTAAAGGGTTCTATTTTTAATTCTGATCATAGTTCAGCTCTTAATTGTTTCTTATTCTTTCTTAAGTTTTACTCACCCGGTTATGGTCGGGAGGTCTATCTGCTCTCGCTATGCGACTCCCTTTCTTTCTTCTTTGCGACAATACAACAACTCGAGAACGCCCTTCCTTTACTAATATTTGTCCTTATCGTTTTTTCGTTTCGTTTCACGTCATGAAATAGGATCCATAGCTCATTCAGACGAAGCCTTGTGTGGTGGGGGAGCAAGGATGAATCGAAGACGTGGAAAATATACCTTTTGGGCTTGCAATAGCATTGATTTCATGTCGCCTGGTTTTTTTTCTTTGGGTTTTTACCTCTTTTTCTACAAGATATATCCGCCTTAGCCTTTTGCTTTTTTATCTCGTCTCTTGATTCTCCATTCTCTAACAAGCAGTGCCTCATTCCCTCTCTTTTGTTGTCAAACAATAAATACACTTTCAGTCTCAATTCGATTTCCTTCTCCCATAATACTTCTCCCTCCTTCATTTTCTGCTTCTCTCTTTTTGCTTTTGCGATTCTTTTTTCACTGAGATTGGCCTCTTTTTCATCCTCTCCATTTCTGCGGGCATAGAGACGTAGCTACGGACATAAAAAAGTTGATATCCAAGAAACTTTAAAAACACAACCGTTTCTTACCAACCGGCCGACCAGCAAATTTATTTTTATAACATTATCCAGTTCTATTATAACACTCTACATCATTCTAGCAATTATTTATTAAATTTTCGAACATGTGGAGTGATGAAGTTAAGCGGCAATTCGAAGCTACTTCCGATTTGGGCAATTAGCTCAGTTGTTAGAGCGTTCGCTTTGCATGCCTCGGACTGCGAAAGGTCGTGATTTCGATTATCACATTGTCCAGTTCTTTTTTTCTTTTTGTCTTTGTTTTCTTCGTCCCTACTATGGTTTTTGTCTTCTCGGAATAACTAACTAGTTATAGGGTTTTAATTAGTAAGTATATCGGTCACATGACCACGCGTTTCTGACCGCATTCGGGGACCATCTTGAGCGTGACAGGCCATCAAGCAGGCTACATTTGAGAAGGATGCTGTGTATTGAATGATGCGACCTCCCCGCATTCAAGACATTCCGGACCCATGAATAATGGATTGAAGAGGAAGGCAAATGCCTTAAATGATGTGGAACACCGTGCCACAGAGGATGGGTCTGGATATCTATCTTGTTCTCCAGAATTGCCCTGTGAAGGACAACGAGGAGATGTGGGAAGAGTGTATATGAACCCTTCAGCAACGCTGCCGGTGGAAGTGGCAGCCACTACCACTCTCCCAACCAAGACTCACGATGGGACGAGCGCCGCTCCATTGCAGCCCCCCAAAGGCAAAAGAGGACGACGCTCTGCATCGTCATCCTCGAGGACTAGTAGCACTTCTTCCAGAGGCCGGCCGAAAAAACCACCTGCTACTTCTACTCCGTCAATTCCCTGGCCTGAACCTTTCAAACTCCTCGCTCAAACGCATCGCGCCCTCAACCTTGTTTACACCTTCTGTTCTGCGCGAAAGCACTTTGCGACGACGTTTGATAATATCAAAGCAGCTGCTGAAGCGCAGACAGGCGGACGTAAACTGAGTGTTGAAGATGCGGCCAGGGTCAAGGTGTTGATTCCGCGGTCAGTAAGATTCGAAAGTGTTGATAAGGGAGTTGTAGATCTTGTCGGGGTGAATGAGGCCAAAGGTACAGGGAAGATTTGGAGGGATTTGGAGATTGAGGGGATGGGTCATGACGCCGAGGCCAGCGAAGGTCTAAATCCAGATGGTGGTGGTGACGTGTTGATATTTGAATTTGTGGATGGGGATTTGAAGAAGGATCCCCAGCAGAATTCTTCTCGTAGGAGATCGAAAACGGACGACATTAGAGTTCCTGTCTACAGCCAGAAACACATGGTGACTCTGATTGAGAAACGAAATAAAAAATTTTCAGACGCTGTTGATGCCTTCCTTGCTAAGTGTCAGGATGAGGATGTCGATCCCGTCGAGAAGCTGGAGGCTGATAAAGATATGTACGTTCCTGTGTTGCATCGCAGCGGTGCTAACAATCTTGCAGCGATGAGATTGCCGGCACAGATCCCTAAGGAACGCGCAACTATTGCAGAAATTATTGCTAGTATCAGAGAAATGGAATGGTACACTGATCAGATAGTACCCGATGGACATCGGGTCTTTGACCCACAGCCAGCCGTTTACGGTGATCTGACATTTGCTATTTCACAGAGTCTGGTCAACGCTCTATATAATACCCGAGGCATTACACAGTTCTATTCACACCAGGCGGAAGCCATCAATAATCTCCATGACGGGCATAATGTCATTGTTTCTACTTCAACAAGCTCAGGGAAGTCCCTTATTTACCAGGTTCCAATGTTGCATGAGCTGGAACAGGATCCTCGCAGCAGAGGGATGTACATCTTTCCGACAAAGGCGCTTGCTCAGGATCAACGCCGAAGCCTAAAGGAATTACTGGGGTATATCGAAGGCTTAGAGCATTTGCTCGTGGAAACATTTGATGGTGACACGCCCATGGCAGATAGAAACGTGATTAGAGAAGAGGCACGAATTATTTTCACCAATCCGGACATGCTACACATTACAATATTGCCTCAAGAATCCTCTTGGCGGACTTTTTTGAAGAACTTGAAATATGTAGTTGTGGATGAACTTCATGTTTATAACGGTCTTTTCGGTTCCCACGTTGCCTTCATTATGAGACGGCTACGGCGAATATGCGCTGCAGTTGGAAACCGCCATATCAGGTTCATATCTTGTTCAGCCACGGTTGCGAATCCCGAAGAACATATGAAAACAATATTTGGGATTGATGATGTGAGATTAACAGATATCGACGGGTCACCCTCCGGAAGAAAGGAATTTATATGCTGGAACACTCCGTTTCGTGATCCTGGAGACCCGTCTTCTGGTCGTGGTAACAGTATCCAGGAGAGTTCCCGTTTGTTCTGCCAACTGATCCTGAGAGGTGTACGCGTGATTGCCTTCTGTCGGATTCGGAAACAGTGTGAATTGTTGTTAGCTGCTGTTAGAGATGAGCTTAAAAGCCTAGATCGAATCAATGTCTCGCGATTTGTGATGGGTTATCGCGGCGGCTACAGTCCGCAGGATAGGCGAAAAATAGAGCGAGATATGTTTGAGGGAAAATTACTTGGGATCGTCGCCACAAATGCACTCGAGCTAGGTGTGGATATCGGCTCACTCGATGCTGTAATAACGCATGGATTCCCTTACTCTATCTCAAATCTACGCCAACAAAGTGGGCGTGCCGGGCGTAGAAACAAAGACTCTGTCTCTATTCTCGTCGGTGATTCCTACGCAACTGATCAATATTACATGCGAAACCCGGACGAACTCTTTACGAAGCCCAATTGCGAACTTCAGGTGGATTTACGGAATGAGTTGGTACTTGAGGGTCATGTCCAGTGTGCTGCTTTCGAAATGCCAATCAAGCCGGACGAAGATACTGAATACTTCGGTCCACAACTCCACGATTTTGCATGTACACGACTTACCAAAGATAGCTTAGGCTTTTACCATTGTCACGAACGATTCCGCCCTCACCCTTCGAAATGCGTTGCTATTCGAGTCACTGAAAATAATCATTATGCAATCATCGACACAACTAACAACAGAAATGCCGTCATTGAAGAAATTGAGGAATCGAGAGTAATTTTCAGTATCTATGAAGGAGGTATTTTCTTTCACCAAGGACATCCATACATGGTTAAGGAACTCAATACCGACAAGCGCTTTGCCCGTGTCATCCGGGTTCATGTGGACTGGACGACCCAACAACGCGATATCACGGACATCGATCCCATCGAAACCGAAGCTATAAGACGCATCAGTAGTACGGCCAACACCAAAGCCTTTTTTGGCGCTATCAAAATTCGAGCGATTGTCTATGGCTACTTCAAACTGGATAAAAAGGGTCGAATTCTTGACGCTGTGGCGCTTGATAATCCGCCAATTGAAATCCTGAGCAAGGGAATGTGGCTAGACGTCCCTAAAAAAGCGCTGGATATCTTGAAGGCCCGCAACCTTAACGCAGCCGCAGCCATCCATGCCGCGGAACACGCGATCCTGTCTCTCATGCCAACATACATCATTTCGTCGCCTGGCGATGTCCGCACAGAGTGCAAAGTTGCTGTTAAAGAATTAGGCCCAAAACACCAACAAGCGATGAACCAAACCAGATCCCAAAATGTTAAGCCTCCTCCCATACCTGCCCGTCAACGCCCCGCCCGACTAACTTTCTATGACGCCAAGGGCGGGTCATCGGGCTCGGGAATTGCTGCGAAGGCATTCGAATTCGTCGACAGTCTGCTCCGACGGGCACTGGGCCGGATTGAAGCATGCCAATGCACGAGTCCGCAAGGGTGCATCGAGTGTGTTTGTGATGAACGGTGCAAGGAGATGAATGTTGTCATGAGTAAGGCCGGCGCTGGCGTGGTGCTGAAGTGTTTGCTTGGGATAGAAGTTGATGTGGAAGCGCTGCCATGGGGGGAAGATGTGCTGGGAGATCGCGGCGTTGCAAGCGACGTGGCCTCAATCCAGGAGGGGAAGGAGTTGGCTGGGGGCTTGGAGACTATTGTTGAGGCTATGGAGGTTTCAGCAAGGCCGGGTGCTCGCGCTCGGATTTATGGGGTGGAAGGGGTGGTTGAAGGATGAGTTGAGATAATTACTTTGATATATGGGCTTGGGCATAGATGTGGATAAAGCGTTGTTTTCTCAAATATACTCTCGATCCCGTTCGTCATCTTCGAACACTTTATTTGTCCTGTATGTACCATACCTTTCTTTCCCTGCTTACCCCTTTCCTAGCTAGAAGTCTAAAATGGTAGAACGTGGACGGATGTAGAGAAGGATAGTGATAGAATTCGAAACGGAAATGTGATAACTGTAAAAAGGTTATTGGAATGCTCAATTCTTTTGATATTTTAATTCCTTCATGACTTAAATTTTTATAAAGCACGGTCAAATTAACGTATTCCGCACCCGGTTTGATCGAGTTACATTCTGGATCACTTTGTACTAACCATTATACTAAAGTAGTTTGAGAAATGACTCTTTTAAGAGAAATGTAGTTGACTACCTTCCCATAACTTATTAAATTATGTGTCAGTTGTCATTGAGAAAGTAGTGAAATAGTATTTCATTTTTGTATCCTTTACATGACACTTAAGGTTCAAGTTTTTGAAATCTTAATCATGGGAAAGTTGAGAATTTTTTTTTTTTTTTTTTTTTTTTTTTTTTATCACGAAATAGTAAAAACTATAAAGAAGTCGTAGCTAGTTATCTGAAGATTTGAGAAAATTCTAAAGTTGTAACTACGGAGTATGCTTTCTCAAATTAATAGTATGACCATTTTTACTGAATGGTGAAGCCCTCCCTGTCTTGTTGTTTTACATACTATCGATTTTAAGTTTTAATGGCAGGTTTTAACTTTTATACTAGTTACTGCAGATTGAAGTTTATATAGAAGTGAGAAAAAAAACTTGATGATTTAATGATTTTATTATTTTTTTTTTTTAAAAAAAGATGAGGGGTGAAGTACTACTGTACAGCTTTCATTCATTGTGATTTCATCAGCTGGAGAAGAAAATTGGATCTAGTCAGCGAGTCGATTCTCTCTCTCTTTTTTTTTTAATATATGCACTAAATATATAGTTACAAGAATATACAAGAAAACGAAATAGGAGATGGAAACTAGGTACATTTCTAGCTTACAAATCTATCAGCTCATGGATATTAATGTCGTTCGTTCCTTCACTAACTATCATTCAGCTTTCACCATCAACGGAAGGACATTCCATGTATGTACTCCGTACTGGAATTACCTACCTACCCTAAGGATCGAAGAAGAGCGGGCCAGAGGAGGGATGGAAATTGAAGTTTTAATTTCGCCTAGGATCTTCTATTCCTAACTAAAAGCGGAATTATGTACAGATTACGTGACATTAGGCTTGCAGATCTCGACTTAACTTGTCCCTCCTCACAATTCCGGCTGGCATTTCATGTATTTCGTTGAATTTAGTGTTCGCTGGGAAACAATGCTTCGACAGAAAGGAGTAACTCTCAAACAACAGAGTCATTTGCGAGGAGGGGGCATTTTCATGTAATGGATGGAACTCGTGGTTCATTTCCATGTCTTGTATTCATGTCAAAGGGAGGATGGGGTTCAAATCCAGGTGTTTGGTTGGTAGATCGATTCTATATCGATACATACATTGTATATGAACCTGTGTGTTGGCGGAGTGGCAAAGGTGAACCTTCTTTTCGCCACGTCAGCCTCCGATCAAATCCCGGCCCCCATTAAAAGCCGAGAAGTAGAATCGAGAAAGAGAATTCAGAAGAGGGGAGGAGAAGAGAGCTGCTGGGGATACAAGATGCTTAAGGTAGTAATAAAAGGACGAACACCTCTTCTCCCTCGCCGCGTGCATACCTCCAAATAAGAATACATCGGAAGCCACTCTGGCATATGTCTTGTAAAGGTGTTAAGGAGTCGGTTCGGATGGAGAGGTCTCGGAGTAGAGCCCAACCGTAGTAGGAGGCGTGAGTGTGTTGCTTGTGCAGCTTCCTGAACTACTAGTGTCATCTATGGACATTCTCCAGAACATTGTCTTCAAATCACGAACGTCCTCCCGAAATGTGTCTCGGGGGTTTAACTCGCGCTCACCGGTCCATTCACGGATTTCGCGAACTAGCTTTGGACATCCTTCATAGTTTCGGAGCCACCACCATCTCAGTTCGGGCAGTTGCCATAAATCTGCCATTTTGGAGCGGAATGCCGATGGATAAATGAATCTGGATGGAAAGGGAATTTTAGTAAAGTGAGTGAGAGAAATTATCCGGCTGCGACTGATTAGCTTACCCAAATTGTTCAACCTTGGCCAAGAGTTTCCGACACCACATGATATGTTTTTCATCACTGGGAATGAACAGAGTGGAAAGAGCTAAGGAGGATTGGACCTGTATAATCCAGTCTTTCGGTCTATTGGGCCATCGCTCCATAGCTTCAATAAGACCGCAGAGCTCTAATGCGTCGCTTTGCAATTCTGCAAGGTCCAGCTGCTGCAACAACAGGCCGGTTTGGTATTTATGCATCATTCTGGTACCAAGAACGTCAACCAGACAACAGTTGACGTCCCAGTATGATTCGTCATAGATCCTGCCTGGCACGTAAGGATCCACAATATCATCTGGCCCAAGAGGCACCTTATTAGGGAAGGACATAACTAGGTGATCTGGACTGGCCAAGGAATTCCATGCTTCCTGTATTTTGTCAAGCCGAGCAGTGATATCGTGGTTTTGGCGTTCAAATTCTTCAGTTGAAATAAGCATTCGTGACGCATTTGCAATCAACGACGCCATATCCATGCCAACCCTCCTAGTGCGGATGGCACATGTGTAAAATTGTTTGTTGATATTTCCTGGATCCTTAGCTTCCTCTTCGACGGCGAACGACTCACACGCGATATACCATTCTGGACTCAAAATGGCTTCACTTCCGGCTAAAATACCGGACACGACATCAAAACGGGCATACCATAAGAACATATAGCGGCGGAACTCGTTTTCATTAATTTTTTTTGGGGTATAAAGCTCGGTGAGCATACGTTGGGCGGCTTGATGATGGTCTGTAACGCTCACCCAGTCACCTAGGTATTCCTGCGATCTTCGTTAGAACGAAAGGGGGAAATCTGAACTAGAAAGGTGACATACTTCGAAGGTTGCTAACTGAAGAATAGTCAGCAACATAGCATCATGGTGCGTGCTGTTAGTGCTGAGCGACTTCAGTAGGCCTGTTACTGATTTGTTATAATATTTGAGGAAGGTGTAAAGTTTGCCATTAGGATGTCGGATGGAGCAAATATATGCTGAGAAGCCGATGACAGCGTACAGCAACGGCTCGTATTGCACAGCATACATAAGGAGATCTTTAGTAATAAAGGACTGTGCGTCTTGTCGCATAAAATAATGGCGAAATGTTATAATGTGTCTGTGATACGCCAGAAAAAATTGTACGTCGTATTTCAGCTTGGAAACCCCAGGTAAGTTAGAAATTTCCTTCAAAGAGCATTCGAATGTTGCCGCTTCATTACCACATCCTGAAATTGTCGAGATCATATCGCTTATGGGAAAATTATCTCTTCCATGGGCGTCCGATGGTGATTTCGGAGGCCGCCCTTTCCGCCGGACTAGCGATTGGGCACTTTGGCTCCGAGAAATAGTAGCTCTTGGTTGGGATACTGGTGGTGATATACTACTGGGATGTTCTTCCTCCTTAAGTTCCTCTTTTTTTTTTTCGGTGCCCTTTTTCCAGCTTTTTCCAGTACCGCCATTATTTTCATCCGAAGATTCACTCTCTGGTATAGTTGGAGGTTTTTCAGCGGCTCCTAGATTCGTGCGGCTTCCTGTTCGCCTTACTTGGGGTGGTGGGTAGACGCAATCTCTCTTTCCCTTGCTGCACCCTGGAAATATAGCAAAACGAGTTAAAAAGTAGCTGGAGCTTTTAGTTCGATGGGTAGAACGTACTGTCACAAATTGGATGAGTTTCATCACACTGTAGATGACAGATCAGCAACCAATCTTGAGGCGCGTGCAGGAGAATAACAAAGAGCAAAGAACAAACCTTCACTCGACGAGAACGGCATGTAAAGCATCCACTCCTTGTTCTTTTGTGTTTTCTTCGATCACTTGGTGCGGATGCCATTTGGAAATGAGCTTGGGGGGTCTCCGGAGGAGGTATATGAGGTTGATGGGAATAATGCCACACGGAGTTGGTGTGGGGATATTGTGGGGTTGTTAGTATATCTGGATGGGCGGCAAACTGGGCAGCGGCATGCGTTGAGGGTGCATCGTAGCCTTCTGCAGGGCCACCAGGCGGAAAATATGAACTCATTCTGATTTTCAATTGTCTGGGCGCCGATTAGAAACACCGTTGATATTCCCGGGAGCCGGGACTTCTAAAAATCTCATATCTTAGTCCACAGACACTTTGGCGCGTCTTGGTTGCACAACCCCGGCATAAGAAGATGGAAAACGATGGAACAAGCAGGACCGGATCGATCGATCATACAAGCTGTAGCAAAGACTGCTGCCAGCTTACTATGTAGGTGCGGTCAAATGCGGCCAAGTGCGACGGAATAATCAGTAAACAAAAGACCGCCAAACATCGTTCATGGGCTAATCGCAACGATCGCTACAAAGGCCCGAAGAGCAGTGCCACCAGGTTCTTGCCGTTTCGTCCGACTAAAGGAAACCTCCGAAATTTATACACTACCAGGGAATCAGGAGAGGGTGGTGTACTCTGTGAAGCGCTTGGAGTTGGAATAACGACAGACGGCTGGCCAAGCGCTATGGTGCTGGGCGGGTTTCTGATAGATGTGTCTGGACTAAAAATGAAAGAGAAAGGTTAAGAAATATGATCATAATCTGGCGTTTAGGAGTGAATTCCAAGGCCCTAAGTTAAGCTTACTGTCCTTGTAAGCCCGAGGGTGCTCAGTCTGAAGTGACCAGGATGATTGGAAGTCCACAAGGGGAACACGGGGAGCGTTCTGTACGGCTGTGCCGCTATTGTTGTTGCCGCTGGTTGGACTGGTTCGAGGGGCCCAGAAGGAGATGTCGACTGGCTGTGGGTTGAAGTGGAGCAGCAGTGTATTAATAGCTGATCAATGGTTGAGCCAAGTCACAGGTGGCCTCAGAGCAATGCAGCCTTACTGCGTCGGCCTTAGGCCCTTTTGGCCAAGACTACTAGTAGTTGGTGACCTCATTTTCTTCCCAACATGAAATCAATGGTCAGTACGTTCTTGGGGCGGGCATCATCGAACTCCTTGCCAGTAGAAACAAATCGAAGTTCAAGTTCCAATATCATCCAAGGCTTTGGTCACTCAAGAACGGTAACTTTCAAACCCAAGGTTCCTTCATTGAACAAGTGGTGGAACGTTGAAAGACTGCCGATTCAAGGCAAGACGGAAGTGCACAAGGAGATCCATAAAGTCCTCTTTTGTACCGCAATACTCAGTAGAAATAGATAGCAGGACTCGACTATGAACAAACATCTTTTGGTTTCCTCTCAGGAGTTTTCACCGACTTAACTTGCAGATGTGTATACATTGAACTGTACCATAACGTAGCGCTATGTCCGTTTCAGGCACATGTATGTATGTATGTGTACATCCGTAGCATCAAGGTGTACCTGCACTCTCGCATCCAGTAACCAATAACAAAAAATGGAAAATTGTCGGCCACGGTCCCAGGCGATCCAGGCGTGTTTAGGTTTCTGGAGAGCCGGACGATCTGGAAGGTTGTTCGGTGTCTGGTCCCGCTGCGGGACTAGCGGATCCTGTCAATCGACCACCAGCCGCAGCAGGCGGCGGCGAACTCAAGTCACGAATGAGGTGTGGTAACGTTGCGATTGGGGCGTGAAAAAGCGGAATAAACGAAGGACTCGAAAAACAACCGGGTTACAGAGTGAGGATTTCCCTTCTGCCGTTCTTGTCGGGTACTCTTCTTCACGCAGAGATCAAATTCTGCCTCGGAAACTGCGAAGTAGCATCTATTCCCCCACTTAGGACATCGTCCTATTTAGCCTTGACGCCAAAGGGGCTTGATATCATGAACCAACTTTCCAGTGGGTGAGCCTAGGTTATAATTTTCCAATCCCCCGGAGTCCAATAGCATCAAACCTGCATGGCAAGCCGCATCCAGCCGGCAATTTAGGGTTTCCAAGGGAGGGCGGTCTCTTGGAAAGGTTGGTCCCAAGACGGCGGGGTTGCTGAGTGATCCCTATGAACGGTGCAGCACCGTGGTTTGGGATCCCACATCTAATCAACTTGGGAAAAGTCAATATTGTGCAACAGTCAAGCCACGAGGATGGCGAGTGAAGATTGACAAACGCAAGGAAGGGCAGGAATTTACCAACAAAATTAGGCTTCGAAGACGCCTGACCTGGGTTTTTTAAGTTCATGCCACAAGATGTAACCCGCAATGCCTCGCTTGCGCTTTTAATTTTCATGCTTAGAATACATCTGTTATTTCACACACAGTTCTAATGTCAGATAACAGTCGCTATACAACTAGCGAGCAGGGTCTGTCTGTGATCAGCCATGAAGGCAGAAATCTTTACGTACCAGGATTGTGGAAGAATTTTACTAGCAAGCAGAGAGATGGAGATCTCTTCATTAGAGACCAAGTAGCGACCATTATTGTAAAGATTCTATAGAGGTCTCACAGAATAATAAATAGGCCAAAATTTCTATTCCATATCTATAAGTTATTGGTGTGATTGATTGTCGTTGAAACGCGATTTCAATCTTACTCATCTTCGATTCATTTTATCCTCGGATGTGGTTTATTAGGGATATAATTGAATTAAGAGGTTAGTAACGGAGAACTTTAAGATATGAAAATATAGTAACGATATAATAAATAAATTATATTTATATAATACACAACATTGAATGAGTGAAAGTGAAAAAAGTGCCGTGGGTTGTCATAGGCCTACGGTCTTCTGAGTGAGCCTTGCTGCTGAAAATCTAATATTAGCGGATATCTAAAGATCTCGGTGATGTGAGAGCTGCTCAGCGTGGTTCATGATGAGAACAACATCATCAAACCGTTAGTTATATCAGACGAAGATGAACCACAAAAGGAAGAAGAAGAAGAAGAAGAAGAAGAAGAAGAAGAAGAAGAGAGACTCTCATAAGCAGTCTCATTTATTTCGCTCGAGACAGTCTCTCCGGAATTTGTTTGAAGAGCAATATAATAACTTAGAATGGGCGCTCAGCATCGATGTCCCAAGCATCATCCTGATTTTTCTTCTCAAATCATTTATTTCTTATCACAAGAAGAGAAAAAAGGAAAAAAAGAAAAAAGACAGAAGAAGAAAAGGAGAAAGAGAAAAAGGAATTAAAAATCGGAGCAATGTTAGAAGATAACTAACTACTGTGTAAATATTGACAAGCTCCGTAACTTACACGTTAACTAGAGCATTCCCGCAATCGTCATCAGGTGCTGCTCCTCAGGGAGAGGTGTGGCGCAGGCCCTGGATTTTAATGCCGGGGTGCTTAGCCGGCCGCATCCCCACGGCCCATGGATGGACAATAGTCCTTGCGCACACGCTAGAAATTCATATGGCAAAGGACGTTACAGGGGCTTGATTCCTCAATCCTAACAAGTCAGGCACCAAGAGCCCGTCACTTATACTGTGAGCACCGGATTTATTTGAGCTCCAGCATTGGGATTTCCTTGAAATTTCCAGCATGCGCAGGGATATGTTCGAGTTTACGCTGCGTGTGTTTATTTCATCATGATTAGTACTTCGCTGGAATAATAATAAAATCTCCCCCAGAAAACAGGCATGGAAACTTGATCTCGGCAATTGTCATGGACGCCGCCGAAATGTCGCACATGGATAAAGACAGGGGCAGCCAACGGGCCGGGTCCCAGCCCTGGAGATTTTCCAATTGGACAGCTCGCAAGGATAGTCCGTTCTGGGAGCCGAGTTAACACCAAGGAGCTCGGTGTGGAGGTTCCAGAAATCAGAACCAAGGATGTATAATCAGCCGCGACGTGAGGACCAAACGGATACGTGTGAAACGTCAATAGAGTTGAAAAAATCTGGCTTCCCGGCAAACCTCAAATTGAGTTCCCGTGCGTGCAGCTCAGGGCACGGTCATATTCCACCCATACTGCGCCAGTTATTCCGCAGTTCGGGAGGCAGTACGGAGTATATACTCTTTCTCAATGAAGGTTGACCTGGACGGCGGCAACCTTGGGCGCTCATACCACCTGTGCTAATTTGGTTAATTAACGGCACGTACATCTTGCCCTTCGCTTAGTTTGACCGTTTTGAGACGCTGAGCATACCACAATATACAGCGTAGGTTGACCGTGCATCCAATGAAATGGGTTTAGCTTAGGTGTACTACTACACAATTAGGAAAGAGACTTTCTATTTATGACGTGATGTTCCGCCTTTTATCAACATTTACTGTGTCAATATCAAAGTTTGGCCGCCATCGTAGTGCCTCTTTATCAGCTTGTGAAATTCCAAAAAAATAAAAGGATTCTCTAGAGGTCCTTTTCGGGGTTTGCTGATCCGGAATGTGCTGACTTTCAAATCTTCAAAAGTTCCAAATTTGGAAGGCCAGGCAACGCGAGGAAACTTGCTTTTAAAGGTCCAGAGAATATAAGTTAATTCATTGCGGATTCCAAATAAAGTAACCCCCTTTTACGGTTCAACCCCATACGATGTGATGTACCTTTTTTTTTTTTGGTCGCCCAAGCCAAAGAAGGCAAGTTGGGAAAATGGCAAAAACCAGATTGCCAAAAGAAGTTGCCAGCGAGGAATTCAGTGTTAGCGTGGTGGCTTAAATGGCAGCGTTTCTTTGGGGCCCTCCCCTTACTATCCATCTTGGACACCAGCACTCGAGTCTTGATTGATACTCCATAATCGCAACTAGCAGATCTTCCAAGGTCGGCCCCAATGGGCATTTAGCATGGTTAACCATATTGGGTTCGTCCCATCTTAGCTTGCCTTGGCTTTGTTCAGGGTCCTTCGAAGGCTCATAAAGTTCAGCCCGGACATGAGCCGTGTATGGCAACTTTAAACTGCTCTGAGGGTCCAGCGAGGGGCAATAATTAAAGCCCGATATGGCAGATTCCACTTCTATTTTCTGCTCCAAATCCCGACGGGTTTTGCTGTTGAACAGAAATTATTTGGCGGGGGAAATTCGGCTAAAGCGCCCCATTTTTCCGGCTGAACACAACTTTTCACACAACATTCCCTCCCCACAGAATGCGAAAGGAACTACATTTTATTGCTACCCGAGGTATTTTGCCAGGCCGCACACAAACCTCAATCCTGGACTCTCTCTCAATTTAAACGCCAAGGAACGATGGGACGCAAAATTTCAGTAGTTGATGTTTGGCAGAGTACTCCGTAGATATACGCTGTAACTATAGAATTACCTATGACATGGATGCATTGCACGTGGCAGCCCAAGTCATTGAATAAATTAGCAACGCCTTTTTCCCACTGACTATATCTGAATAGGAAGATTATGACTTCGAAACAGGTTGCAGGATTGCCTTGACGACACACAGACATTCTCCCATTCCCCTTGACATAGCGCGGACTATCCTTACAGCCATAGCAACACACGAAGTTTCAATTTTCCAATTCGAGATCTCAATCGAGGCTTCTTGAGGGGCAAAATGGAAAACTATGTACCTAGCTATTCCACAATACATGATAACCACACTCCACCCCTACAGGAATTGTATTACAAGTAAGTGTATGAGAATTTTCAAGAGATGGGAAAAAAGTCGTTTGTTGAAGGGCAGGGAGGGTTGTCGTCGCAAGAATATTTATTCAGTGGAGTAAGAAATTCCGGAGCCGTGGGAGGTTTTGAACAGAACGTTGTGCAACCCAGAGCTCCTACGCAATTCCGTGTGACTCTCTAGCTGGCACGGAGTAGTATTTATTATTCTTGGTGGTAGGGGCGATAAATTTCCCAGCCGAAACAAGCCCTCAGTGTCTCTATATGGTTTACGAAATTTCTCGACCCTTGTATTGGCTGTGAGTGCAGAGACAGAGAGTGACTTTAACGATGTCCTATCATGCGAGAGGGCCCGCTGAGATTCCCTTTCCCGCCTATCCAATCTAAGACTAAAAATCCCCCTTGAAGTTCACTAATCCTGGATATATTCCTTGTGATGGAGGTGGAAAGGTTGACTGCTCAAATAGGCGTGGTCACGTGGCATTCTA